TCAAAAGGAATGTGCTGTTTTAGATATTTTGTAAAAGAATGAGCCCAGCAGGAAGTGAGCGCTGCAGGACAGTTTGGACTCTAAGAAATTTCATTTAGTCAAAGATGTCTTATTTATATATACAGAAGAAATATCTTCTCAATAAAGCGTAAATGTAAAGTCCCAACCCTGAGCTTTTTGAAGAAGTGAGTTTTTTGTTCAGGCACAAAACAAAAAGTTCATTTAAAAATAATTAAGACTGAGTTTGTGTCGTGTGTTCAGGTTTTTTTTGTCATTTTGTACATTTTGCATTTGTTCTCCCCCACACACCTTTTTTTTTTTTTTTTTGAGTCATTTCATCACTGAGCTGCATTTTTGTTCACTTTATGCACTTAAAAAAAACACATTTTGAACAGAACTAGTAAATATAATAAGCATATTGTTAAAATACTTTTTGTGTCGATAACGGGGCAGTTTGTTGTTTGATACGATCCCTTTTAAAACTAAAGGTCCTTTAACGCTGAGCTTTAGTCTTAGATCATATGTTTAAAAAAGAAATTACAAAATTGTTGCATTTTAATTGCTTAAAATATCATGTGCATGCTCATGCGAGATTGCAAGATAACTGCAGATATCTGTTATAATGACTCTCAGCTACTACCACGTCAATATCTGCTAAATGGACTGAGTTAAAGCCAGTTTCGTCTTTGCTATTATCAGGAAACTGTAGGAAACATCTTGACCTGAACTGAGTTCAAACATTGATCAGCTGCAGCTGAATATCCAGGGATTACTTTAAGAAAGTTTATTTAACATCTGTCCAGTGGTTCATGAGATATTTTGCTAACAGACAAACAGGGTGGACTCCAAAAGCAAATATATCGCACAACCTGTCAGCGCTCAGAATATGTTTTGAATATTTGTGTGTTTGCTAAAGTCACTTAGCTGTGGCAGCCATCTTGGATCAGGACCACTCCAAAGGTAGAGACACATCCAGTAATGATTTTCTGCACGTTTCATCAATTTTCATATGGGGGTAATGAAATATTTTGCTGACAGACAGACACAAGGACAAAAACATTATTGTCAGCCTTCACCTTAGGGCAGCAGGCAATGTTTATTTTGTTCAGAAAATTAAATGTTCACGCTGATTAAACAAAACTTGAATGTTTTTGTTTTTCTTTCTTGTGAACATTAACTGTGAGAAAATGCTTTGCTACCACCTGGTGGTTAAAATTTGTAACTGCAGGCAAGGAAAAATAAAAACTAGCTTTGGTAAACTAATTAAATAGGGACCTTGCAGAATAAAACGTATAATATAACAAGAATAAATGATAGTGTATGTAATCATGTTTAATGAATGTATAATTCACGTATAATAACTTTTGGAACTTGTGCTTGTATCCAGGATTCTCCACAACGTTTAAAGTTTATGGATCTATAAATTACCTGTTTTTGTTCTCCATCAGTCATTTTACAAAAATTTCCAAAACAGAAAAGCAACAAGACATACATAGCCATAGCAGACACATAAAATTATTTTTAAAAAGTTTGTGCAGGAGCTCATTTTAACGTTATAACATAAATCCAAGTGAGGCGACGATCCAACTTTCCTACAATCTAACGTTTGCAGCTCTAGTCATTCCATTTATTGGTAGATTTCTGTGTTTAGTCCACAGGGAGACATTTAAACTGTTCTCTCCTCATTAAATCACAATTTAAGCATGTACTTAAACCAAAAATAAAATCTCTGTAAGCATTTGGGTTGTTACTCCATGTCCATACAGAGTGGCCTGACTGTTCAATGGTGAATCTTAATAAATTTTATTTACTTTGTGCATGAGAATAAACAGTTTTTTTTTATTTGCATGTTTTATCATAACTTGGATAAATAACTGTAGCGTTTATGTTATGTTATATTATGTCACCGTCTTATCGATTTAATTTTGTAATTTGTGAACTTATTTTGAACTAATAAAGTAACTTTAAATTCCTTATATCACTTCTTAATACAGTCCAGGCCAGTTACAGCTGCTGAAAAAGTATGACAACAAGAGAAAAGTAATGTTTTGATGCTTTTTAAGACACTTTTTGTAGGGTTTGTTTCCTCGTGTCTGGCCCCATCTTGTTTTGTGTTTATGTCTTGCATCTTCCTGGTCCTCAGTCTCTGTCTTTGGCATCTGTGATTACTCACAAGTGCCTTCACTTTGTCTAAATGGTGTTTCGTGTATTTAAGCCTTTATGTTTGTCTTCTCTGTGTCCTGACATTGTTATCCGTCTACTGGTGATGACCTGTTCTGCTCCCCGTGTACTCCTGGATTATAAGTGTAAGTTTGCTGCCCTGCCAGCTTTTTCTTTTGTAATTAAGTACTTATCTAATTATACTCCCGAGTCCTCGACTGTCTGCCTGCACCACTGGGTTTACCAGCACCAGTGCTTTGTGACAGTTTTCCCATCATTTTACAGCAATCTTGATGTTTGATATTTAATTTGAGAGGTTTTCTCAAACTTCAGTCATCATGAAGGATTTTAATTAAGAAGTTTTCCAACAATTCTTGAATAAAAGGTGGTTGCTCAGTGAGACTCCTACAAATTAAAGCAGCTGAACATCAGGAACCTATTGAGATTCAGTCACACAACAAAAATAGTTCATTACAAACTGATGCAGTACGTCCCATGATTATGTTTAAATCTTCTTAGCTCACATACAAAGCTAAGGAGTACAAATGAAATAAATTATGTTGAAATGTGAACATTAAATAGAAAACCCAAGCTGCAGTGGCTCGGTGGTTGGTATTGTAGTCCTGAGCCTGCAGGTTCGAGCCCTCCATCAGTAAGGACATAAAATGCTAGTTTGTTCGTTGTGATGACCCCTGCTGAGGGGAGCAGCTGAAAGACAAAAACACAACTTAAAAAGAAAATTTAATCAAATGTCCCCCTAAAGACACGCCTGTACACCTTTAAAGGAATGTAAATTAATATAAATGTTGTAAGATGTGCTATCGTCAGTAAAAAACTGATTGCCTCCTAATTTAGGGACTTGGATTGAATTAAAAGTTTATAATGATGATGGCATAGTTACATTAAAAAAGTAACTTAGCTAAGTTACTGATTACTTGATTTGGAAAGTAGTTTAGTACTTGTAAAAAAAAAAAAAAGGTACTTTTAAAATGTACTGTAAAGTTTAGTACTTAACTAGTTACTTTCAGAAGCTGCTGACAACAACCCTCCACCACCTCAACATAAAAATTACATTGAACTTTGCCAATACCTACTTTATTGAAAGTGCTTTTTAATGGAAAGGACATAAAATGCATCTGTAAATGTATCTCCTGACCTATAAAGTTATACAATATAAAGTCTCTCGCTCCATTGTTTATGTTCCTGTCACGGTATGGTGTCAGGTATCACAGGTGATAACGTGACTGAATTGTCGCATAGACCTGACGTCACTCCCCCAAACTTTTTATTGTTTTTGTCACTCCCCGAGACGCATAGAGGAAATAAAATTAAATTACAGTACTAGAGAAAATGACAAAAATAGTAACACACAGTAACTTGGATAACTTTAATCTGATTACTGGATTTTGAAATAGCAACACGTTAAATTTCTAGTTACAGAAAATTGGTCCGATGTCAGTAACACGTTACAAAGTTGTCATATCTCAAGGGCATTAGAGCGAGAGACTGTGGCAAAGCTGCAAAGTCTTGGGGACAAAACACCCCCATCACTCTCCGCTTTCACCTCCCACCCCTGCCGAACAGATAAACAACCTCCCCCCTTCTTTCTGACAAAGGCTCAAAGTTATTTGTCGAGCACTAAAAACATCTACACGAAGATGAAAATGATGCAGAAGTTGAATGGAGTTTGGTGCGATGAAGCGAGAGTGGGAGTGAGTCATGAGGGTTGAGAGATTTGTGATGTTAATTTAGCATGTTTGGGTTTTATAGTTAAGGTGTAGTTTATTGTGTTTAGTTTGGTCTGTTTTAGTGTTTCAGTCAAAACAATGAGAGGATTTTTGAACGTGAGGACAAAGGACACCGGAGAGGCTCATGAAGGAGAAAACAGTCTTGAGTCAGAAAGTGAGGACTTTGTTAATGAAGAGGGTGATCATGATTTGTTTAGAAGAAATAGAGTGACCGAGCCCCACTAGGAGGTTTGACTCTGTGCAGAGGATCCAGAACCCCTCTGACTGGGCCAACAGAATCAGGCATCAGTTCTGAGCTCTGGAGAACTGAAAAAGATGTGGATGCTGACCCAGAGGGCGGAATAATGGAGGAAAATACCCTTTCTTAAATTACTGTAAAACAATTATTTTGTCAGTTAAAAAAAAATAAACCCTGTAGTGTAGAGTTTTTAAACAAACAAAAAAAAAACCTTCAAGCTTTAAAATAAAATAGAACAAAAATAACTGAGCATGCATCAGGATAAAAATAACTTAAATTACCGGTAGATATTCAGGCTGAGACAGCTCTAAAAAACTGACTTGTTTTCATGGAAAAAATATTTAAAGCTAGTACTTTGAAGCAGTTAAAGGTAGTTGATTTTCCCTGAGCAACATAAATCATCATAAAGTTAAAGCGATAAAACCATCTTACTCAAATGTGCACAATCTGATGCTTTTGCTGTTGATCAGATTTAATGATAAAGATAAATTCATTGTGAAATAATTCTTTATTAGGATCATTGTGAAATAATTCTTTATTAGGTTCTTGAAATGTGTTATCTCTCTACAAAACTGATTGACAGCTGCTGCTGATCATGACTTCATAACTCTCTTCATGTCTGTGATGCTGGTAAGACATTTTCATCAGTGTTTAAACAGTTCACCAACATCCAAAAAAGTTCAATCTGGTCCTCTGGACATTCAAAAAAACAAAAAACAAAACAAAGCAAAAAAACCCCACCAACACCAACATGTTCACCACACAGAGCATCATCTATGTGTTGATGTTGGGACTCCAGACTCCTACTCCAAGAGTTATTAGAAGACTGTGACGAGCACGGTCTTTGTATATTCTCTGAAATTACTCATAAAACCTGCATATCCCGAACACCAATACTTTTTACATGATTAGAAGCAAAAGGGACGTCTTTTCTGACAAATGTGTCGATGCTTTAACTTCCAGGGTTGTGATGTCAACACTCCCAGTACCTCCTTCTGAAACAGTCACGGTGTGACCCGTTTGGTTCCTGCAGGTTCTGAGTTGTTAAACCAGTAGAGGGTTGTCCAACGTGGCCACACCAGCTGCGACACCCCCGTCTGAATGTTCTGAACTCTTGGTCCTCAGCAGATGACCCGCACACTCGTTCATCAACGTTTCCGTCCCCCGCCTGTGAGCAAACACAGAAAAAACGTGTTTTACACTCAACAGGACCGGATCATGTTCTGCTGACAGAAGATCAGGATTAATAACATAATGACTACTTTCTAGTTTTGTTTTTTCTTCAACTGTCCAAGATAATAGAGGGGGAGGAAGAGATGCTTTTTGATCCAAAGCCAACTGGAAACAGACTTCTGAAAAGTTTCCTCCTCTAATCAGACCTTAAAACCTCTGATTGGCCGCCTGTGCATTTTAATATTGATTAAAGTCATTTTATTGCTTTTTAAGACCGTTGATGGTCTCCTACCTCTAGTACTTCATTCTCCTCATGTTATTGCCGTTTTAAATTATCTCACTTTTTTTTCATGTTCGTTTGCAGGTTTGTTGCTTTTCTTTTCTTTGTTTTTATCTGGTATATTATGGAAAACGCTTGATAAATAAAGTTCGATTTATTAATTGATAGATATAACGTGATTTGAACTTGATAAACAATAGCACAGCATTGTCAGCAGGTGGCAATAGAGACCACATCACAGATTAATCCAACAAAAAAAGAATATTTGAGAGGAAGGAGACCTAAATATTAAATTCTCTATGACAAATAGAGGAAATTAAAGATAAATATTAGAGAGTTTGGAGTAGGGTTGAGCTTGGGTTCCTGCCAATACTTGAAAAGCACCTTCTGAGAAGACATTCTCGCTACCTTTATGTTTGATGCTCCAATATTCAACGTTCTGTGATGGACTCGGCAAAACTGAAGAATGGCGACAAAACGGAGGAAATGGAAGTATACAGGACCTGTGGCCACTGGGGCCAAGACCACCTCAGGCCACGGTACTTCTAAAGCCGGGGACTCGTTTCTACTCTTACCAGGACCCAGAGAGACGGACGCGTCGGCCCTGAAGTCCAACATTCTGGCTTCAATAAAAGCTGATATTTCAGCGGTAATTAAAGCAGAAATTAAAGCCGCCCTCACCGAGGCTCTCACCTTTATTAAGGATTAACTTAAAGCAGTGAGAGCAGAGGTGGACCAGGTGAAATTCAGTGTTAAAGATGTTGAAGACGGGCTGTCCACCTGGTCTGATGAGGTTGCAGCTCTGCGCAGCACCATGACGGAACTGAAAGATGAGATAACTTGGCTGAAAAAGAAAGACGAAGACGTGGAGGGACGTATGAGAAAGTGCAACGTGTGGATCCTTGGAGTCCCTGAGACGTTGCAGTTGAGCTCCACCACAGCGGTCTGCTCATCTGCTCACAGAGGTGCTGCAGCTGGACAAGATGCCGCTGATTGACCACTAGTACCGGACGTCGGGTGGGAGGAAGTCACGTGATAAGCCGAGAGTTACTGTAGCTAAACTGCACTATTACCAAGACTGTGTGGAAATATTACGGCGTGCGCGCAGTCGTGACCCACTCTGCTTCAAGGATTCACTGATCACCAGTAGAGCGGATTATACAGTGAGGAACGGGGCGGTTTTCACAGAGGGGAGGAGGCTTCTTTGCGGCCGGCGGGATGTTCGCTACGGGCTGTTTTTTCCTGCATGGCTTTGCATCACTCACGGTGAGGAGGACAAGGAGTTTGTGGACCCAGATAAAGCCATGCGCTTTGTCAAAATGAGTATAATCTCAGCAACGGGTAGCGAGGACGGGAAAAGACTGTAGGGCTGGCTTCCCTTAATCACCGTTCTTAATCAACATATCCAGCTACTTCAAATTGCAATGCGGTACAAGGCAGGGTGCCCGCTCTCACCACTTTTATTTGCGTTAGTGATAGAACCACTAGCTTTAGCTTTACGGCAAAATTCCATCATTAAAAAGGTATAAATTGATTAGGCACAGAGCATAAAGTTTATTTATATGCCGATGACATGCTTTTGTATATATCAGATCCTCTCATTAGCATTCCTAAAGTTACTTACTTCACTTCAGAAATTTGGGAGAATACCTGGCTATAAGGTTAATCTTCAGAAAAGCGAGCTGATGACTGACCTCTATAGAAAATAAAATTTACATACTGTTCCATTTAAAATTAGTTAAAAAAAGTTTTAAATACCTTGTCATTTGGGTAACACGAGTCTATAAGAAGCTTTATAAGGCTAATTATCTACCTCTCCTGGTAAACCTTAAGCAAGACATTACTAGATGGCAAACCCTACCTCATGGCGTGATGGGGTAGAATAAACTGTCAAAATGATTATTCTACCTAAATTTCTGAATTTGTTTCAGAGCCTGCCAATTTTTCTAACTAAATCATTCTTTTCCAACCTGAACAGCCAGTTATAAACATTTATTTGGAATAAAATAATCCAAATTTCCAGGAAGATCTTTCATCTGCCCCGTAGGCTTTGAGGCATGTCACTTCCTAATTTCATGCACCATTACTGGGCATCCAATATCAGAGCTCTACCATTCTGGTTGGGTAAGGATACCCCTTCTCCCAGTTGGGTGGCTTTAGAGAGGGCCTCAATTAGATCCAGCTCTCCCTCTGCATTACTTTGCTCTGTTTCCTTTTTAAACCGTCAGTTTCAACTTATACTTCTAAACCAATTGTGATTAGGGGGGACTGTACTTGTATAGTCCCTTTCGATCTTATCAAGACACTCAAAGCTCTTTACACTACAACATGTCCCCTCATTTACCCATTCATACATTCTACTAGCTCTCTACAAAGCTAATGGAATCATTCTAAAGAGACTAACCAGTGCTTTATTGCATTCATACATTGATGGGACACTCATCAGAGGCAACGAGGGGTTCAGTGTCTTGCCCAGGGACACTTCGGCATGTGACTGCTGGTGGAATCGAACCCCTAACTCTTGCATTGGCAGACGACTGCTCTAATCACTCTGCCACAGCCGCCTCAATCTGGATCTGGACAGTCAAGATCTGTAATCAGTTCAGGAGAACATTTAGCTCTACAGAGATATTGTTTGTGACACCAGTGTCAAATAATCAGGTTTACTCTCTCAGTAGCTTTTGATGCCTGGGAGTACATTCACTATATGATCTCTATGTTGATAAGTTTGCCCCTTTTGAGCAGCTGGTATAAAAATGTAATATCCAAAAGTCACAGTTCTTCATATATCTGCAATTGAGGCATTTTGTTTGGTCTAACTCTGATCGTTTTCCTTTGTATCCTCCTAAACATTTTGTGGTTAAGATTTTGGAGTGCAAGTCTGACACCGAGGGGCCCCTCAGCACGATCCATACACTGCTCAGTTCATACCAGGAGACCAGGTTGGACTCGAAATGGACTTGGAGGAACCCATATCAGACTCAGTCTGGCAAAAGATCATTAAGAACATTTATTCATCCTCAGTTTGTCTGAGACATGCTGTAACTCAATTCAAGGTGGTGCACCATCTGCACTGGTTCAAAGACAAAATGTCCAAGATTAAAACTGACCTGGATCCTGCATGTAACCGCTGTAAACGAATTCCAGCTACGCTCTTACACACATTCTGGACTTGTCCAGGGCTGCAGGGCTATTGGCAATCTACACTTCCTGACCAAAAAAATAGTCGCCACCAAAAAAAAAAAAAAAAAAAAAAAAAGGTCACACACTGATATTTCGTTGGACCACCTGTAGCTTTGATTACAGCATGCATTCGCTGTGGCATTGTTTCGATAAGCTTCTGCAATGTCACAAGATCTATTTCCATCCAGTGTTGCATTAATTTTTCACCAAGATCTTGCAGTGATGACTAGACACTAGGCATGATGGGTGCATCACTTCACCTGCCTCTCTTCTTACCCTGATGCACCCACCACTCTGGAACAGGGTCAATCTGGACTCATCAGACCACATGACCTTCTTCCATTGCTCCACAGTCCAATCTTTATGCTCCCTAGCAAACTGAAGCCTTTTTTCCAGTTAGCCTCACTGATTAGTGATTTTCTTAAGGCTACACAGCTGTTCAGTCCCAATCCTTTGAGTTCTCTTCACATTGTGCGAAATGCTCTTACTTTCACTATTAAACAGCCCTGAGTGCTGCTGTTGTTTTTCTTCTATGTGAGCTCACCAAACGTTTAAGTGATCACCGATCACGATAATTCAGGATTTTTTTCCGGCCACATTTCTTCCTTGAAGACGATGGGTCCCCACCATCCTTCCAGTTTTTAATAATGCGTTGGACAGTTCTTAACCCAATTTTATTAGTTTCTTCAATCTCCTTAGATGTTTTCTCTGCTTGATGCCAATGATTTGACCCTTCTCAAACAGAGTGACATCTTTTCCACGACCACGCCATGTGTCTTTCAACATGGTAGTTTCAGAAATGAGAAGGGTTAAATAACTTGTTGCAGCTGAAAGATAATCTGCCACGCAGTAATTATCCAATAGGAGGCTCGTACCTATTTGCTTAGTTAAATCCAGGCGGCGATTATTTTTTTGGGCCAGGCAGTGTATTTTTGATACCTTCTCTGGGATATGTGTAAAAACTGTGTACCCGTCACAATTCATTTCATCGTTTAGGGTGGTCCTTGTGGACGCATCCTTCAGCAAGTACGAGAGGAATATGATTGCTTTTGGCTCTCTTCTAGCCAGGAGACTTATTTTATGCAGATGGAAGGATCAGCATCTTCCAGCATATGAACATTGGATAAGAGAAGTTATGTGTCATATTCATTTAGAAAGTATTAGATATACTCTGAAAGGACCTGTTGAGAGATTTTGTGACACTTGGCAGCCATTTGTATCTTATACTGGAAGCATGTCTGATGTAGCTGATCTGGTGTGAGAGGGGGATTTTTAAGTATGTTTATTTATTGTGTGTGTGTGTTCAGAAAAAAATGACTGATTAAAAAAAAGCAATAATTTTAGAAAAAAATACTTTGGATTAATAAAGTGAAACACATTGTTTTAGGTAATTCTTAAAAAAAAATAAACAGACAGTCTTAAACGGTCAAAACTACAGACAAGCGAGAGCAGGGGGAGGAGCGTCAACGTACCTCACATACACTCCGAACACTCCCAGTTCACTGACGCAGCTGCTGATTTCCAGGGGAGCGTCTCGCCGCAGTAAGTAGTTCTGTACGGACGGAGGAACGATTTTATCCATCAGGACGTAGGCTGTTCGCTCCGAGCTTCCCTTCACTCGGTTCAGCACCTGGATGAGCTCTGACCCGTACAGGTTGTTTCCTACAATGTTAAGATATTAAGGAAGTGAGGACGAGCCTTTACAGGCAATGAGTTACTTTTACAGACGCACTAAACTACGATCCGATCAAAGCAGCAGAATATTTATGAGTCAAGCTTTTTCTTGTACCTCCTCCTTCTCGTTGAGGTTTCAGAACAAACCGGTCTGGATCGGCCAAAGCCATGGCTACTGATTGATCACCATCTGGTCCCTGAAGGTAACAACGGAGAACCAAAGTAACAAAAGTCCATAATGAATCTTTTTAATGTTGAATTTCTGACAGTTTCTCACCATGTCCAGAGTGTAGAGGCCAGCGAACGTCGCCCTGAGCTGCTCCACGACCTGAGTCTGATCTGGGAAGAATCTCTCCAGAACTCCAGGTTTGGCCAGAACCTGCTGGACCTTCTTGGTTCCCACCAGGTGAGTGTGGATATCGGGACACTTCGCAGCCAGAGAGCGCTCCATCATAAGACGAGCGTCCCAGCACTACAGTTTACAAACAAATATATTTCTTCACTCTCTGCATCTTAGGTTGCATACTTTAAATTCAGTTCCTGTCAGTACAACAACTTTTCAAATATATTCTGTTCATTTAAAGATCTGCACGGTTTAAATGTTGTCCCAGTTAAATCAGTTTAGTTCTTCGGACACAGGTGCTGCCTGCTTTTATCAGTGAGCAAAGGAGCAGCAGAGCAGAAGCAGTTTGTTTTACTTTAACCAGCCACGGAAAAGACCAAAAATGTTGGGGCCAATTTAAAGTTATAAATTATCTTAAGTGTGAGTGAGTGAGTGTGAATGGTTGTTTGTCTCCAAGAGTCCCTGTGATGGACTTGCAACTTGTCCAGAGTGTGTCCCACACCCCTGCCCCGCACTGTTAATTAGTGTCTTTCAGCTGCTCCCGTCTACAAAGGTCGCCACAGAGTGAAGTTACACGAAATATTTTACATCAGATTCCCTTCCTGACACAGTTTGGTCTCGATTGATGGTATTGAATAAAATCTGATCAAGAGTCAGTTGCTTGGAACCATTTGCTCACTTAATATTTACTATTTAAAATATTCATCACTTAATCAGCTATTCAATTAAATTTGATCAGCAGTTTATTAGGCAGTCGTTTTTAGTTGCTTAATCCTCACTCATGCTGTATTCTAAGACCATTAGCTAATCATTACTTAGTTTAGTAACATCCAAACATTAATCAATAGGTAATAATTAGATAGTCATGGGAAATTACAAATTTTTAAGCTCTTATTGTAAAGACAACTTGTGGACAGTTTATGCATAACCTGTTGGATCACTGTCACACACACACGCCTGCTGCCTACAATGATTATTAGGGTGTAACTAACAGTTTCATTTGGCAAACTCTTTCACTCGTTTGCATCCGTTAATGGGTAAACTCGACATCTAGAACAAAAAAATTGTTCAAACGAGTTCAGACCTGTTCAGAAATGTAGTTCTGAGGCATGTAGCCATTCCTGAAGTAGACCACCGCGACCTCAGTGCCATCGCTGAAATAAGAATAAACATGCATTTAGTATTAATGGCAAAAGAACATTTAACAATTTATGTCAAAATGACAGAAAGAGACCTACACAAATAGCCTCTTGTCCTGATCAAGGGATCCTGTTTTTGCAACATCACCAAACCGTTTTCTTAGTGTTGGAATGTCTCTAAAAAACAGGATGCAAATATATAAAAACAGATATTACACCGCTCACAGTAACAATTACTCAACCAGACACTGCTCATGGGTTTTGCACAAAATAAAATCATACAAAGAGATAAAAGTGTCCATTTGCTCAGAGACAGAGTGGAAACAAAAAACTGAAAGACTCTAATTTATAAAGCAGATATATTATTCTTTTACATTAATAAATCATCCAAACTAACTCTTACCTTTTCCAAAGTTCGCTCTCAATGAAGCGCTGATCAAAAATGTTCGTCTGGACCTCCTCCACCAAGAACAAGACAGCCGCTCTGAAATGACAGCCATCAAATAAATCTGAACATCAGTGAAGTCGTGGCAGAAACTGGAGATGATGAACCAGAAAGTGTCCTCACGGCAAAATGGGCCCCCGGCAAATATAATCACTAAAAGATTTAAACTCAGAGCATCAGCATCGTTCAGATCCAGAACTTTAGAAGGAAAATCGTCAAAACAGTGCTTCAACTTCACCGCCCCTTCAGGAGCAACACAACGCTCCTTTTGCCTTTAAATCTGGGCAGGATGCAGGTTCTGGTGCAGACCAAAGTACAAACTAATCGTGTTCGTATAAACATATTTATGGATTTACCAGGAGGTATTTTAAACCTGTTAAACCCATGTCAGTGATCAACCAGAATCGGTCCTGTTCCTGTTTCCAGAGGAACTTCCTGCAGCACAGAAAACCTGCTGCTATTTCAGCACCAACTCTTTACTCAGTAAAATCCAATTGTAAAATCTGCACACGCTGCATGTGTTCAACCCGTGTCTCTCGGTCTCACCTTTCTGATCCATAGAGCTCCCAGGCTTTTGCAATGGCCCTGGCCAGACCAGCTGCAGGGTTGTTGTCCGGGATGAGTCGACTCTCCTCCAGCCTGCCGGCCATCCTCAGTATGAGTCTGTCAAGCAAGAAGACAAGTGAATTTACTTATTCTGATTATATATTTAGTCATCTCTTTCACTTACATAAACTGTGTGTACGAATGACCTACGCACCTATGTACACCTGGTGTCAGTGATGAGAGGCCTCCAAAACTTGCAGCGATTGTGTTTATCTCTATTTGCTTTAGAGAAGACGTCTTATTCTCATTCTGGTCCAGCATGTAGTCGGACCGATTGAGACCCAACACAATGGACTAAAAACAACAAAAAAAAAACCAATAATAATGACTGTTGTCCTCTGCTGAACATTCAGCGTAAGTTGTTAAAACTCAAAACTTGAGCCTATGTCGTGTTCATTTTTTCTCTTATTAAAGCCTTTTGTATTCCAGAGAAAAGTCAAGAATGTAGGACTGAGTGTGGCAACTCTAAATGTGGGGACAATGACAAGCAAAGGTAGAAAGCTGGCTAACATGATGCAGAGAAGGAAGGTAGATGTTTTATGTGTCCAAGAGACCAAGTGGAAGGACAGCAAGGCTCGCAGAACTGAAGCAGGGTTGAAACTGTTTTACAATGGTGTGGATAGAAAGAGAAATGGAGTAGGGGTGGTCCTGAAGGAGCAGTTGGCAAAGAATGTAGTAGAGGTGAAGAGAGTGTCAGATAGGGGGATGTGTCTGAAGGTAGAAGTAGAAGGTCTGATGCTAAACATAGTCAGTGGTTATGCTCCACAGGTTGGATGCGATGTGGAGAAGAAAGATAAATTTTGGAAGGATCTGGATGAAGTGATGGACAGCATCCCCAGAGAGGAGAGAGAGTGGTGATCAGAGCAGACCTGAATGGACATGTTGTTGAAGGAAACTGGGCTACTACAGCAACAATAATTAGAGAGACGGGTAGGAAGGTACTTGGTGTGTCATCTGGATGAAGAATGGATGATAACAAGTGCAAGATAAAGAACGGATGGATGGAAACCTGTTGGTGAAATAATGAAGCGCAGGAAGTTATTCAAAGAAACAGGTTAGCCAAGAAGAAATATGACAGAGAGAGAAGACAGGAATTTAAGGAGATGGGATGTAGAGCAAAGAGGGAGGTAGCTAAGGCAAAGCAGAAGGTGTATAATGAGCTGTATGGGAGGCTGGACACTAAAGAGGGCGAGAAAGACTTGTACCAATTGGCAAGACAGAGGGATCAGGCTGGAAAGGATGTGCAGTTGGTTAGGCTTATTAAACATAGGAATGGTAATATTCTGGTGAAGATTCTCAGTCATCCAGGACATGATGAATTCCAAAAACGTTCAATACAAAAACAACTGGACTTTATTTGTAACAGAAGACATTTCGAATGGTAATGTTCTAACAAGTGAGGAGAGTGTGACGGGAAGATGGAAGGAGTACTTTGAGGAGTTAATGAGTGAAGAGAATGAAAGAGAAAGGGGAAAAAAAGATTTTGTAAGCTCAATCATCCAGGTAGATAACAAAAAAATGTTAAATCATGTCATCTGGACCAGTTTCTTTAAGGGAGAAAGAAAAGTAGAGGTCAGAGAAACTGTGAACCAGGAAGTGGGAAAGATTAGTGAGGGTGAATTTTGGAAAGCTCTGAAAAGAATGAAGAGGAAGGCAGTAGGACCTGATGACATACCAGTGGAGGTTTGGCAATGTCTTGGAGATATGTCAGTGAGGTTTTTGACTCAAATATTCAATGGCATATTTGAGGGTGAGAAAATGCCTGAGGAATGGAGGAGAAGTGTGCTGGTGTGCATTATTAAGAACAAGGTGACGTACAGAGTTGTAGCAACTTCAGGGCAATTAAGTTGATGAGCCACACAATACTTGCTTTGAGAATGCTAATGGAGAAGTACAGAGAAGATCAGAAAGCACTCCATTGTGTCTTTGTGGATTTAGAAAAAAACATATGACAGGGTGCCAAGGGAGGAGGTGTGGTGTTGCATGAGAAAATCTAGAGTGGCAGAGAAGTACGTTAGACTGGTATGAGGACAGCAGGACAGTGGTGAGACGTGCTGTAGGAGTGACAAATAGCTTCAAGGTGGAGGTGGGAGTGCATCAAGGATAGTCTCTGAGCCTCTTTTTGTTTGCTCTAGTGATGGACCGACCAAAAGATGAGGTCAAGCAGAAATCCCGGTGGACTATGATGTTTGCGGATGACATTGTGTCTGTGGTGAGAACAGGGAACAGGTGGAAGAGAACTTGGAGAGGTGGAGGTACGCACTTGAAAGAAGAGGATGAAAATCAGCCGTAATAAGACAGAGGCCATGTGTGTGAATAAGAGGGAGGAGGTGGAACAGTGAGGCTACAAGAAGCAGAGGTCACAAAGGGGCAGGGTTTCTAGGACTTGGGCTCCACTGTCCAGGAAAATGAAGAGTGTGGTAAAGAGGTGAAGAAGAGAGTCCAGGCAGGATGGAGTGGATGGAGAAAAGTTTCAGGGGTGATTTGTGACAAAAGGGTGTCAGCAAAGGTCAAAGGAAAAGTTTACAAGACAGTGGTGAGACCAGCTGTTGTATGGTCCGGAGACAGAGACATGGACAAAAAGACAAGAGACAGAACTGGAAGTGGCAGAAGTGAAGATGTTCAGGTTCTCAGGAGTGACAAGGATGGAGACAATTATGAATTAGATCATCAGAGGTACAGCAGAGGTTGAACAACTGGGAGATAAAGTTAGAGACCAGACTGAGATGGTTTGGACGTGTCCAGAGGAGGGACAGTGGTTTGGACATGTCCAGAGGAGGGACAGTGGTTTGGACGTGTCCAGAGGAGGGACAGTGGTTTGGACATGTCCAGAGGAGGGACAGTGGTTTGGACATGTCCAGAGGAGGGACAGTGGTTTGGACATGTCCAGAGGAGGGACAGTGGGTGTATTGGCAGAAGGATGTTAGAAATGCAGCTGCCAGAAAAAAGAAAAAGAGGAGATATATGGACACAGAGAGGACATGGAGGTAGTTGGAGTGAGGACAGAGTGAGATGGAGGAGGAGGACTCGCTGTGGAGACCCTGAAGAGGAAAAACTGAAAGAAGTAGTATTCCAGTAATTTAAAACAAATTGTCATGCCTTTTAAAAATAATTTAAAGCGGTAACCATCTTGGTTTGTTAAACTTGAAAATACACTTTGTAACAATCTCAACACTCAGGTAAATATATTTTCTATTTGTTCAGGAACCGTTCAAGACGTGGTCTAAACTCAACATTTTGAACAATATTTCTCATTGATGTTTTATCGTCTTTAGTTTTAAATCATTAGTAACTGTGAGCTTTTGTGAGCAGCTCAATAATTGACTCTTCCAAAAGAAAGTGATAATCATACAAAAATTAATCCTGATGCAGGCTTAATAATCCAGGTAGATGAATCTAACAAGGTTAAGTCGGGTCCTCTGGACAGATTCTTCTAAAGAAAATAGAGATTCCATCCAGAGGACCAGACCTTAAGAAAAAACATGAATTTGTCTTGACCGTTCAAACCTACCTGAGACCCTCCTTCTTTCTGGATTTGTTGGTGAATCTTAAACAACCTTGCAGTGAAATCATCCACTTTGATGGTGCTGCAAAAAGAATAAACAGAAACCCATGTTAAAATCCTGACATATTATTTAAAAAAACAATTTTTAAAATAAATAAACAAACAGATATTACCTAATATCAATATGATGATATTGTGTTCTTTAGTGAGAGTTGTTTTTGTGCATTTATAAAACTACTTAAAGCCTAATTTGCACATTATTCCAAATAATGGTCCTGCATCCTACCTGGATAAAGCCTTTTGCAGGAAGTCTGCGTCTTGACTGACCCTATCCACCAACGTGTTGTAGTGAGTTTGCACTGCAAGAGCCTGAAGAAATGCAGCTTTAGGAACAGGTGAAGGGAAGAGCGTGAACGGAGCATAGGTCACCAACTGCGAAACAAGTTGTAGAACGTAAGAAAACAATAAAACGCAATGTCGACAACAAAAAAGCTGTTCATTTCAACACAGTCATGAAACGTGGCACGTGAGGAATGAATAAAAACAACTGGGCTAAGTAACAAACACAGGATTAGTATGGATCTATTTAAAACCCTGTTCCCTAAAGCACACGACTTCACAATGAACATTTCTGTAGCATCAGCAGAGGCCTAACGACAAAATCAGAATGAGTTACGCTGCAGTGCACAGTTTAACAGATTAAATACTTTGCCAGTACAGTAACGAAGAACAAGCCAAACTCTGAAAAATAAAAGAAGACTCATCAGATTTCTTGCATGTGCATGCAAATCACACCTCGGATGAGTTTGGGTTCTCCTTGGTCCTCATTACGATTCCCTGCCGGAGCGCTTCATCTTTTGCAACATCTGCCAGTTGTTTTATCAGAGCAGTATCCGTCATCAACTCGTCCGGTCTCCACTGAGCCATTCTGGTTCCAAAATGAGACGCACACAGACAAATTCTGTAATAAAACAGCACGACAATTATATAAAAGCCCCCACACACAACTCAGTAAAACATTGTCATCGGATACCACATTTAACAGTTTGGATAGTAATGTACTTAAATAACAAATTAACCCCCTATAACACAATATGTTGCTTACATTCTCATTTATTGGTTCATTTAACATCATGTATGAAGGAAATGTAGCTGGATTCATGTCTGTATGATGAATTTTGCTTGTAAGATACAAAAAAAAAAAGCCTTTTGTCTAAATCTGGTGCATTGATCTAATGTACACAAACCTTACAAACTAATTCATTGTCTGCTTTTGAGAACAAAATCTTTGTGGACACTTGTATAAAAACATATAAAGCTATTAAAAACCAAATATATAACCCGTTTCTGATGACTGCTGTTACTAAAGTTAATAACATTCCTATGATGCACAAAAACCCTTGCAGATTTCTCCACGTTTCCTCACTTCAATGAAACGCCATGAACAAGACGAGGCTGACAGGAGACAAGCGAGTTAGCTTGTTAGCTACCTACCTGTTAGCTTTAGCTCGTGTCCAACTCGAAAAGTGTCAGTCAATTAACGATGACATTAACGTTCAGATATGTCTGATCGCTATGTTAAAAACAGAAACTCGGTTTAGTCACTGCAATACGTTGTTTCAAGCAAAGAGTATAACGGATTTAAAATGTGTAAATAGTATATTCGCATCTGATGCTATGTTCAATGAACCTCGGAATTTAAACAGTTACTCAGGAGATTTGAGCTCTGGCGCCTCAATCAGTGCGAAGTTCACAACAAACAAAACTACTTACGTGATCGCTGAAAATATCGTTTAATAAAGTTAATAAAAAGAACGCTGATTTATTATTTAGGTAACGATATTGGAAAAGACACTCTTTACTGTAGCAGGTTTAAAAAGAATATGCCGATTTTCAAGGTGGTAGTGTAACGCAGCATTCGATTTGTCCCGGTCCACTGGCCAGTGCTGATTGGTCAGCGTCAAATCGAACCAATGAAAACTTGCCACGTCACCAAAACAATGAAAGTTTATGTAAATCAAACACATGCTGACCAAAGATGAGTTAGCAAATTTAACAGAAGATTAAAAAAAAAAAAATCGTAATCTGTGAGTGGCTATTTTGTTCGTTCATATTAGATTAAAGTAGAACTGCTTTATGACTGGTTAGCACTTTGGTTGGCCTTGTTGCTGTTTTAAGTGCTATATAAATAAA